TCAAAATAGAGAATTTCTATTCTTATTCGCTCCATATATGTATACAATGACCTCTCAAGTGTAACCATTGTAAATGTCATCTTTGTTCTCCTTATTGTCAGTTTCTAATTATTTTTCTCTCGCTTTTTTTTTCCTTTCTCAACTAATCCATCGAACAAATGAATAAATTTCGTTTCTAATTCTCAATAATATATTTATGTCTACATGCACACAAGTAAAAAAACACTGAACGGTAGATGGTCTCAAATCATTTCACATTTTTAATTACGCACTATATTACACGCTAGTCAAATAAGAAAGAAAATTTCTAGTTGAAAGCATATACGAAAAAAAACCGTGTACGTTTGCGAGATATCTTACTCGGCTAGTAAATCATCGTATGAACGCGAACGATGTTGTTCGGGATATCGTTGTCTCTGACGTTTTGTTGATGCTTGGTATGAAATTTGTCCAAATGCCATTGTTTAATCTTGGACGAATTCGTGAATTCGAAGAAATATGTTCGAGAAAAAGAGACACGTATGTGTGTATCAAACAGTCGTTTGCATGGAATAATGAAGAGCGATAACAAGTGTCTGAGCGATATATTATTTTCACGCGAATGAAGCGCAAAAAGAGCCTTCGAAGTTTAACTCTGTTGAGGTACAAAGTGACGATATGAGAGAAACAGCAGGTGATAAATAAGATCGAATGCAAACAAACGAAACAAACTAGACGTAATATTTCTTCTTTTTCAATTGTACCTCACGCTTCAAAGGAAAAGAAGGTAGAATAAATGTACGGGAGAAAAAAAAAGGAGACAAGACTCTGTATTTAATACATTGATGCACAGATAGATAGTTTCATGATTGACTGGAAAGGAAAAAAGAAACGAAGAGAAAAAAAGAACCGACAAGTGAAAAGTAGATTGATTATTACAGGTGAAATAATATTTCATAGGCGAATTTTCTTCTCTTTTTTTTCTCGTTTCTTTTTCCTTTTCTGATGCTGGACAATGTTTGGTCCATTAAGCACTGATTTCATATCATACCTGATCGATCTCATCTAGCAAATATCGACCGAGAGCGAGAGGAAAAAATAAACAATTGATTGTTGGATTCAAATGTCGTCAAGAACACTGATATGTTGTATTTGGTTTGCTACCGGCAATGACCTTATCAATATGACGGTAGAAAAAGACGGCGGAGAGGGAGAGAAAGAAAAAAAAAGAAACAGAGGATGATATAACGGTAATGACTCGCAGAAAAATAAGACGCGAGTCTTACGAGATGAAGGACATCAATAAAGAGATAAGTTTTTTTTTTATCTAAATTAAACAAAAATTCAGATTACATTATCTATGATTTTTTTTGCTAGCGATATAATTAACTTGTTTCGATGTTTATCTCCTGATGTCACATTGAGAATGTCAATATTTCGGTTAGAATTGATGATCTCTTTTTTTTTTCTCTCGCAGATACTGATATCGTACAGAGGTCATCTGATTGGAATCTATTTGTATGAACGAGCAAAATGTTGTCTCATGTGGCAAAAAACTCATTTCATATGTGAAGATTAGATTGTCTATTAGGAATGCAAATGAGAAGTTTACTTACGGCAGAAGATTACTTAATAATGAACGTCGTGGATGGTGAACTGTTGCGTAAGTAAGACCTCGTGATTGAGGATGTTGGCTATGTAAAATATCTGAGAACGGTTCGTTTTGATATTGATTGCGGCGAGCTGATATCGAGTGACTTCCTCGTCCAATGTTCGGAGTTTTAGCAAGTGCTCGAGGCCATCTTGTATAAGATGAAGATGAATAACCTGTCGCCGTATCATATTGAGAATCTGCGATCGCTGGTGGATTGCGTGGAGGTCGTGATGATGATGCTGGAGACAACATTGTTCATAAGACACTCATACACACACACCCTGACACACAGTCTATGTCTCGTGTCTCCGTTTATGTCCTGACTGGGGCTAGAACGAGAAAAAAGGAATGATCAAGCACTAGTTTGGTGAACTTTCTCTCTTGTCGAGCACAATTTTTTCTTTTTTTTTTCTCAGCGTTCTTCTTTGTCGCAACCGCACATGCATTTCTTTCCGGTCTAATCATCGTAATAGAAAAGGAGAAAAAGTAACTCCTATGTTCACAAATTGGTCTCGAAAAAAAAAAACTAATGAATGCTGTCAAATGAATATATCAAAAAAGATGGGCTCATCAGCAATAGATAAATGTAGAAAAAATCCTTCAGTACTTTTACTCATATATGCACTGATTTGTACTTCAGCTTTGGCGTCTGATGTAATTAATGTATCCTATATGTCTATGATGAATGAATGCGAAGACAAAAGAGAAAATAGAAATATGCAAGCGTATCTCATTGAAGTAAACTCAGAGCTTATATTTAATAGAAGTCGATCTCGTCAAAAATGATAAAAATCATACATTATCGTAAGTGTCGTAACTGAACATTTTTTACGGTTGAATACATGTGCTTCGCTCGCTCTCGTACGAGATTCAAACGAAAACTAGACGTCAATAAACGGATTACTTAGTTGAAATTGAAAGTAACAAGTCATATAACTATATATTTCATTTACAAAATCAATCGTGTTTGTTAAGTAACGGCAAGAGAAAAAGTAAAGCAAAGATTTCGGTTTATTGTCTAGTTTCTTTTATGTAATATCTATTATCAAATATTACTACTCAATTTTGACTTGTCGGCATCTCTTTACTCGATAGTTAACCATACTTATACGTGATGTTTCGCATGTCATGAACAACTTATTAATCGCTTGAACTATTTAACAGATAATCAAATTAGGTTGTAGACAGAATTGATGAGGTAGTATGTATTTCTCAAGTGAGATACTTCAGAAGTTCGATAAACATTTTATTATCCTCGTTGATAAGACATGATAAGTTCTTTTCTGCACAGCATTCATTCTCAGTCTTCTTTGTTAAACATCCAAGTACGAAATTAGTCAATGACTAGAATATCAAAATGATTGATCACGTATGATTTTATAATTACAGAAAAGAATATATTAATATGTATGCTCTTAAAATATTGCAAATCAAATAGTGAATGATCAATTAGCAACAAGGTCAGAAGAAGAAAAACCGACGATTGTCTTTTCTTGTTTCGAGAACAAATCCAATAATAGTTCATCAGAAGTTTGTTTGAATGACATGGTTGGCCAAGGTCAAATCAATTGAACATTGAAAAGCATCAAACAATTCTATACTTTCTTCCGTAATTCAATTAGGACTTTTTTTTTCAACGTTTCCTGTCGGATCACTCGGCGAGTACATGCATTCATATTTGATTAAGAAAGAATTCGCCGTCGTGCAAAATAAGTCTTTCAAGATTCGATTAGATTCACTCGTCATCTCTTTATTACTTGGAATACAAAGAATGTTGACAAAGTCTGGCTGATTCGTTCGCAGTGCAGAAAAAGAAGTCGATGTGGAAATTTTATTGTAAATGTGTATATTGAATATGTCCGAGGAAAACTATCGAGACCAGAATATTACGAGAAAAAAAAAGAACACAATGAGAGAGACAATCAGTTTAGTCATTGGATTCATCGGTTGTTTTCAATAATCTACGAGGGCCGCGTGAACCTGGTGCTTTCGGTTTAGCAAACGATGATTTAGCCGTGTTTGCCGCAATGTCAGGATGGAGCTGTTGCATGAGATAGTCCGTTGTCAAATCTGCCGAATCGCAAATTTCCAACTGAACGAAGAGACAATATGGTTGAATAACATATGACTAAACAAACACTTACTTTCTTCTCAAAACTGATTCCGTACTTCTTTTCAAGATTTTCTATGACACTTTCTTTGCAACTAGCGTACAGCATTCGTTGTTTGATTTTTGAACCATGTCCAGGAACAGAATACAGAAAAACTAAAATCACGTAGGAAGACATTGGCAATTCAGAGAAACTTGTTTCTTTAGCAATTTTACACATTGAATCGATAGGTTGATTATTGTAGTCATGTTTAAATCTGTATACATGATATCTTCCTTGTTGACCTGGCAGACATTTTCGAATATGCTCCGGTGTCGCATGAGATTCAGAATGAGATAGCAGAATGCGTTCTGTTTCATCATCGATTTCCTAAATGAAGTCTTCGTTTTTGCTGAAGTTTAATCAGAAATAAAATGCTTACTAGTTGAATATAATCAACTTGATGCTTTTTAAACAAATGTATTGCTTCAATAACATTTTCATCGAAGGGAAATGTTAAACCTTGTAAGGTTGGATGACGAGTATCAACACTAATATCTGCAGAAGCCTAAATCAAATGTGCATGATTATTCGCAAGAATGAAATAAGGAAGAATTTACTTCGCGTTGTTGAATTTCAAGCATTTCTTCCTCACGCATTGTTCGTGGAGGTGGTGCATCTTGAGTGCGTACGTGCTGTTGGAATGAATGACTAGTCATTTCATTCTAATAAATACAAAATTCGAACCGATTGAACTCTTTTCGAATGGAAATTACTTTTGATGATGCTCGAAATTCCTGGGTAATGTAAGTTAAACCAAATTCTCGTTTTAATGTTGCAACTGTCGATGCATATAACATCCGTTCGCGTACCTGATGTGTTAAACAACAACATTAAGATTTACATGAGAAAGAAAACTTCTTTACTGTCGCATCGTCTGGAATATAAGTGATTAGTAACCAATTATGCCCACTCAATTCGCTAATTGTGTCTAATCGAACAAAAAAGTAGGCAGGATGTTTGTGGTGAACTAACGGTGGAACCATTTTGTCAAAATCTGTGAAACCAAATGAAAATTTCCCTATCTTTTGCACATTAAAATGTTACCTTCGTTGAATGATCGAACGGCATTATGTTCTTCTTTTGCGATAAGTTTTTCTATGATAAAAAAAAGTGTTTTTTTTCAATGGAAGATTTCAGCTTAATCAAGCGATCAAACCATTCTCGATGACAACAACAACAACTCGTGTATGGCCATCTTTCATATCAGCAAATTTATCACGCAGTTGATCAGTCGCTAAACAAAGACGAAGAAGACAATAAAAAAAGATTTTTTTTCATTAATTGCCCATACCGGTAATGCCCGATTGATGAGACATATCCAACTGATTGACTTACGAATGAATGACAGAGAATATGGGTGAAAGTAAATAATTAGACAAATTCGACCAGTCAGATTCATTCCAACAACGAGCACCATCTGTTCGAAGGCATTTATTTCGGAAAGGTTTATGCATTGATTTTTATTCGTTAATTGTTGATGATGATTTTGCGGTTGAGAGCGAGAGAGAGACGAAAATTGACAGAATTTCATTTGAGTCATTTGCTTGCTTTCAATTATCATTTTCTGAGTAATGTTAATTTACATAAAAGATAAGATTTGAATATGCAATAGCATATTTGCGTTGCATGTTGAAGAGCATCTGTAAATACATCTGGTTTATTTGTTTGAGATTTTTCTTCGCATACTGATCTACATACAGTCAGTCTTATAAATAAAACCTTTGTACCTGTTCTATATCTGGCTGGAGTTTTTCAAAATTCCCCACATGTCCGTCGGATAGGTCTATTTTCGCACTCTATATCACTCTTTCAGCTTATAAATAGTGATCAAATCGACATTTGTTTGCTACTCAGATAGGACTATCAGATCTGGGCCAAAATCATGATTCGTATGATTTTACTCGGTTACTTTGTTTTTAGTGGGTTCTTTGCAAGAGAATTGGCAATGGAAGTTTTCATGCTGAAATCCTCGAAAAGCTATTTCATCGGCTGATTTATTTTCTTCTCAACATTTGATGATCTCCTGTGTAAGAGGAAGCGCAGGTAAGTGCGAAAAGGAGAGAAAAAAGAAAAAAATTGCTTCCATCACGCAAACAAGACAAAAGCAGAAAAAGTGTCTAATCATTTCTTACTAATTCTGCTTGATGTCACAACATATTTTCATCAAAGAAAAAAAAGGAGAATACAGGTGAATATTTTTAGACCAGCATATCTTTTGATACAGAAGCAATGTCAGTTTACAAATGTCCGTACTTGGCTCAATTGACCTTACAACAAGTCCGAGCATCAGCACCGTATATTCTCAATACAGGTGCTGCTTCGTGTCCAATTTTTGGACAATTGGCACGACAAATGTCGACAACAACAACGAATACGGCAACATCGATGAAGGTTTCATCGCCTCCTCCGAGTTTCGACGAGATCAAAGCCGCTCATGAGAAAATTGCCGAACGAAAACGAATATCGAAAATCAAATTACCAACAACATTGAATTCTTACAATGGAAGTATGTGTAGAAAGCAGTTTTCTTTAAATATCAATTGTCCTTTTCTTTCTCAAAGTTATCATCTCTACCGAATGTACGGATCTTTCGTGTCCGTTTTTGAAGACAACACCTATTGCTCTTCGTCGAGTAAATATGGATCAAGATACAATTGAAGTGAACGGCAAACTAGGTACCACATTTTTCTTCTAGTCGATGTTGTTTGACAAGATTTTCTTGTAGGAAAACCAATCCGACCAATGATGGATACCAAGAATTTGTTTGAATACAATACATTCTTTGACGAGAAGATCCAGGCGAAAAAACGCGATAATTCCTATCGAATTTTCAAGTGCGTTCAACGAAGAAGTGGTTTATTTCCACAAGCTGAAGAGAAGAAGCATCTTGATGAAGATCGTGATTCTCGTACGATGACAGTATGGTGCAGCAACGATTACTTAGGTTTAAGTCAACATCCCGAACTGAAGAAAGCTGTCATGTAAGTATTTTCTGAAATGTTCTATCATGTGAGAAACTTCTTCAAGCGTCGATAGGAAACAGTACTCTCAAATTAGTTTCCACTTTTCATTTTTGTTTCTTTTTAGTAATGCAGTTACTGCACATGGTTCTGGTTCCGGTGGCACACGGAATATATCAGGAACGAGTCCATTGCACGAAAAACTCGAACAACAGTTAGCTCGTCTCCATCAAAAGGAATCAGCTCTGTTATTTACTTCTTGTTATGTGGCTAATGATACGACACTGTATACATTAGCAAAAGGCTTACCGAACTGTCACATCCTGTCGGATAGCGGAAATCATGCATCAATGATCCAAGGTATACGGAATAGTCAAGTGCCAAAGCATATTTTTCGACATAATGATGTCGAACATTTGGAAGAATTATTGAAAAAAATTCCACGACATATACCGAAGATTGTCGCCTTCGAAACAGTTCACTCAATGGATGGTATTGTTGCATGACCTGTTATAGAGATCAATACATAATGTGATGTGATTTAGGTTCAATTTGTAATTTGGAAGCCATGCTAGATGTTGCTCGTGCATATGGTTCCATTACATTCATTGATGAAGTACACGCTGTTGGTTTATATGGTGATAATGGCGCAGGCATCGGTGAGCGTGATCATCTGCTTCATAAAATGGATATCATCTCTGGTACACTTGGTGAGTAAATGAATTTTTATCGAAGGAAAAACTCCACGGGAAACTCGTTATGTAGGTAAAGCATTTGGGAGCATTGGCGGTTATATAGCTGGCAGTGCGAAAATGACCGATTTCATTCGCAGTTATGGTTCAGGTTTCATTTTCACAACATCAATGCCGCCTACAGTTTTAGCTAGCGCCTTAGCTGCAATTAAGGTACGAATGGATGAGTGGAAACATTGAATGATATGAGTTTCGTTTAGATTTCTATGAGTGACGAAGGTCGCACACTACGACGTAAGCAACAAGAAAATGTCCGTGAATTACGATCGAAATTAATCGATGCTGGTCTCCCAGTAATGATGTCACCCAGCCACATCATTCCAATTCACGTATGACAGCGAACTTGTCAATCCTTTTTTTTTCGATATCTACTTCTAATTTCAGGTGGGCAATGCTGCACTTGCTACACTTTTGTGCAACCATTTGCTCGATCGACACTCAATCTACATTCAATCGATTAATTATCCAACTGTTGAACGTGGAACTGAACGTTTACGTATTGCCGCGACACCGTATCACACCAGTGAAATGATTGATCAATTAGTCGAAGCATTGACACAGGTTTGGAAGGATGTTGGTCTTAGTTTAAAAGACATTGAACAGCAATCTGGCATCGTGCGACATCACAATTAACGCCGAATGAAAATATCGAACTTTTCTTTTTGTCCTTGAACCAGTTGTTTAATTGTAAGAGAGAAAAAAAATCAGTCTTTATGTAAATGTCAGTAGAGGTCGTCTAAATTTCCGTTTTTATTCCTTCTATGCTCCTATCGCATCTTTTTCGCCTATGGATCCGTCCTTAGGTGAGTGTTTTGTGTTTTTTCATCGAATTTCTAAGATGCAAATAAACATAAAACATCTTACAACTCGAACCAATGTACGATCGTGTATTCCGTTAGAAATTGATCGCAACAACTGCCAGTCGGAAGCAAGTAACAGAAAAGTCTTTATGACTCATATCTCACATTGTGACTTTGTTTGCATTCATTTTGTTAAAAAGAAGGAAAGAAAACGGCATCGATTAAAAAAAATACAAAAAAAAATGAGCAAATCACAGTTATAACTCTGTTGAATCGATTAGGTTTTTTCCACGAATGCACATGATAGAAAAATATACGTTGTGAAGTATGGCTTCGTGTATGTACGTATATAGCTTCTTTATTATTATCGACAAAACGTTCTTTTTTTTCTCTCTCTCTTTCCTTTTATATATTTCATCCTACTCAACGTGTCCTTGTACATATTTAGTGTATACTGTTTTATTACGCATTCTATTTTCCAGATTTATTAGTCAGGTGACGATCCATTGTACCGTTTTCTGATATTACAATAATGAATACGGATTCAAATGATCCAAATGAAGAAATTACTGCTGGTCATCGACAAGCACCGATCTCAAATCAGGAGTGGAATCGACAGACAACTGTCGATGCACGAAATGTGCTTCAAACTCAACTATCCAGTGCTTCTGGTGAATCGTCTCAGCAACTCCAAGAACAACGAACCGTTATAAGTGAATTGAATTGACTACGATCTTCTCAGCAGTTCGACTGTCTATTTTAGTGAACAAAAAACCTGTCTATCCAATGTATGTTATTCATCCTGAGGCAATTCCATCACTGAACGAAGTTTCTGATGAACTAAAAAGACGTCGTCATATACGTTTTGTCGACCCATTAGCGATGGAAACGTTCGAAGGTGATATACCACTTGAAACGGCTAGTTCATTGCAAGACGAAATTCAGCGTGCTGTACAAAACCGGTTTGTTAGAAGCGAATAAGTTTTCGCACCGTATCCGATCTGAAATTTTGTAGGGCATCGCAAGATGAGAATACCGATCAAGAGCATAACGATAATGTACCATCAAATGCTGAGAGTTTATTTCAACCAGTAACAAGTTCGGATCAAACAGATAACTTGTTTAAATATCTTCAACAACACTCATTTGGCCTAAGTACAGGGTCCTCTGACCGTCAGAATATTTCTCAATTATTTCAACGAATTCGAATAACGGGAGACTTTCATGACATGTGTCATATTGAAGATTTAGACGAATCGGTGGCTCCATTACTTCGTGCTTTACTTATACGAGAAAAGTATAGTTTGAAACTCACGTCAAATAGTTTTTCAATCACTTTCTCTTACACTCTCAAAGGTATATGATCTTCAGTTTACAATCTTATCCAACTGTCGTCGCACAATTTTTGACACGAACGTTGCAATCCGACGAACAATCACGCCGTCCATCCAGCGTTGGTTTCCATCCTACTTTTGGTTTGTATGACCGCTTGATCTTCGTTTGATGCGTGTTTTTTGCTTCTTATCTGTATCTCTTTTGAACTGATATTTGTTTGCGTGTGTGTGCGTGTGCTTGCCGTGAAACCTTCTTTTTATTTAGGCCTTCTACAAAGAGTGAATGCTGTTACTTTTAGCGAAGGGTTACACCAAAAGCTTAATGAATCTGCATCTTCACATACGATCTCACGACAAATAACAATTGATGACACTAACGAAGATGATTCTGGTATTTCGCTTCTTCATCTAACATTAGCCTAACATCTATTTTGTTATCCGTATCGAAATGCTTATCTATATCTTTGTTTTGCTAGACGATTCTCATCCATTCCATCCACCAGTGATAAAACGTAAGGATGCGTTCAACCTTCCGTTACTTCCGCCAGTGGATATGTGTGTGAAAGTGGAAAAAGGTATTCCATCAGCTTACATCTTGAACGATGAGAAGGAATGGGTATCAGCTGAGTATCCAACTATCGATCGTGATCAATTTATTGATGATTACACACTTTTATCGGCAATGATTACCGATGGACCGTTGAAATCATTCTGCTATCGTCGTTTACAATATTTAAAATCCAAATTCGAGCTGCACTGTTTACTCAATGAAGTTAGAGAATGGGCAGCAATCAAAGCAACTCCGCATCGTGACTTCTATAATGTTCGCAAAGTCGATGCACATATTCATGCAGCATCATCAATGAATCAGAAGCATTTATTACGGTTCATGAAGAAAAAACTGCGAACATCCGGCGATATGTATGTGCATAAAACAAAAGATGGACGACTGATGACATTGAAAGAAGTTTTCGATGAATTGCATATCACAGCTTACGATTTAAGTGTCGATATGCTCGGTGTACACGCAGTAAGTAATTCGAATGTTGATAAGGAAGTTGTAGAAGATTTTTTTTTTCGCAGGATCGAAATACATTTCAACGCTTTGATCGTTTCAACGCGAAATACAATCCACTCGGTCAGAGTATCTTACGGTAGTGTGTATAGAATTGATGGAATAGTATTCTATTTGACTTCTCTTCGATATAGGGAAATATTTTTGAAGACTGATAATTATATCGAAGGTGTTTTCTTTGCTGATCTATTAAAAGTAGCTTCTATTTGAAAATAATTATACGCTTTAGTTGAATCTTCGCTTGTAGGAAGTCATATGTGATCTAGAAGATAGTAAATATCAACATGCTGAACCTCGGCTATCAATCTATGGCAAAAGTATGGATGAATGGGATAAGTTAGCGAAATGGGCGATAGTTAATACAATGTATTCAGCTAATGTCAATTGGATGGTTCAAATTCCTCGTCTTTAGTATGTTGAATTTGTTTAATTTCAAATTCAAAAGTATCTCTCCTTAGTAATGTTTATCGTTCAAATGGTATTATAAAAAATTTTCAAGAATTTCTAACCAATCTCTTCAAACCATTGTTCGACGCGACAATTAATCCTCAATCCCATCCCGAACTATTTCGTTTTATGCATCATCTAACTGGTTTTGATTCAGTTGACGATGAAACCAAACCTGAACGACCGGTTCTTACCACGGATATGCCATATCCAGAAGAATGGAATACGAACGATAATCCACCTTATGTTTACTATTTAGTAAGATGAATAATGGAAAACATTTGTCATGTACATGATCAGTGTGTATTTTAGTTTTATATGTATGCAAATATTATGACGTTGAATCAACTACGAAGGTAATTTTTGCTCTCTGTTCGAATTAGCTTTTAAACTCTTTCTTTTTAGGGCGCGAGGTTTGAATACATTTCAATTTCGTCCACATTGTGGTGAAGCAGGTGCTGTGACACATCTCGTCACAGCATATATGGTTGCAGAGAATATTGCTCACGGCTTGCTGCTGCGCAAAGTCTGTATAGGTATGCTTGATGTTAGATAACTTCATGTCTATTGGTGTTTTAGTCGCCTGTTTTACAATATTTGTTTTATCTATGTCAAATTGGTATTGCTATGTCACCATTGAGTAATAATTCTTTATTTATTAACTACAATCGTAATCCAATGTTAGAATATTTCGAACGCGGCCTGTGTGTATCGTTATCCACAGATGATCCAATGCAATTTCATTTCACTAAAGTTTGATTTGTGAATAGTATTGAAAATGAAGTCAACTAGTTTCTCTTAGGAACCATTGATGGAAGAATATTCTATTGCTGCTCAAGTATGGAAATTGTCAGCTGTTGATATGTGTGAATTAGCACGTAATTCCGTACTAATGAGTGGATTTTCTCATGAAGTAAATGAAAAAAACAAACCAATCTGATATGTCGACTTTATACGCGATCGTTTCTAGGTGAAAATGTATTGGCTTGGGCCAGATTATCTAGAACCAGGAATTGTAGGGAATGATATTCGTCGCACAAATGTACCAGCGATTCGCATTGCTTATCGCTTTGAAGCATGGCGTGAAGAACTGCGTTTGATCGCTCTTGCATATAAGAGTCGACAAGAGGTATTGTTTATTAAAGATAAAAGGTAGCACAACTTCCGTGCAAACTGTACTTTTAGAGAAAAGAACATCAACGAGTCGCGAATCAGACGTCAAGCAAGGAAGCATCAGCATCATCGCCAAATCAAGAGCATATTCGTAAGAGATTGATCCGTTTTGAATTTCAATTCATCTATTTTTTATTTTCAGCTAATGGGAATCAACAATCAGCCGACAATAAAAATTCCAATCTCGGTAAAATCAATGAATAATATTACCGAACTTTATTCTCTACTTCCTTTCATCATCCAGTTGTATATTATAATTATACATCATATTCTCTCTAATAAATACTGTTCCCAGATAGAACTTTCATTTATATCAAATTGCCAGCTTCTCGTAGTATCGTGAAGTGTAACGCAGAACGATAAGATCTATAGAAATAATCTATCGAAAACATGTGACTTTCGTCGTGTCAAATTTTATCATTTCGTTATCGTTCTCTCTGTTAGTTGTTTTCGATTTCGTCGTTCTCCGCCCTATTATTAAAAAGAAGAAAAACGAAAGAGAAAAAATGCGTTACATTTGATAACGTACCTTTTCTACTTGTATACTGACATTACATTTTGATTTTAAAAAAGTATGTTTATCGGAAATACCAAACGTTTTCTAACGCAACAACAAGCATCGTGCATCGTTATTCACCTCAAACTTCGACATGCTTCCTCCTCTGCTGTGCCACCCGCCAAACTAACCTCAAGTTATTTTCACCATTCTTCATCACTTCCATTCGTCTACAAAACAATCAGTCAAAACTTTGACGAGACTGCTGCCAAATATCCAGATCATGAGTGCTATGTCTTTTCGAGTAAGTTATTCGATCACAACCTTTCCTA